TAACAGTTGAAGCTTAATTGACTTATATTATATAAATTATTATATAACCCTAATTAAATATATATAATCATTAATTAATTGAACAAATTTAATATTGTAATTAGCCGAGTTCAAAATCACTAATCAACTATTTTATTCATTTTTAAATTTAATTACCATCCATCTTCCTAAAAATATTTTCAAGGTCCAATTAAGTATACGAGATTTCTTTATAAAAAGTAAGTAGACATATAGTTTATAATCCTCTATTATATATAACTGGCTATAAAATATTAGGTAAAATGCCACTTTTACAGACGTATTTGACAGTTATATAATATATTAAAGTCAGGATTGGGCAGTATCGCGGATATTTGTATCTAAGTATCTTGTATCTTTTATTAAATTTTGGAAAGTATCTTGTATCCAGTATCGAAGATACATATTATTTAAAAGTATTTGTATCTTAACCAACTTTGTATTCAAAAAGATACAGATACTTTAAAAAAAAATTATATTAGTTAATTTAAATAGTATAAAATTTAAAATGATATTGTTTTAAAATTTAAATGAAAAATTTAATAAGAAGTTAGATATTTTAAGGTAATGTATGATATACGACGTTGGTCGTCATATAGCAATTTGCTAACAATTAGAACTACCATATTTTATTTGAATCGTTTTATATCCGTCTATTAAAGAAAATAGAATAATATGTTTATCTTCGTCTTCAGATGATTCTCCAACCAAAAAATATAACTATAAATTTAAATTAAGTATTTTAAATGGGAATTTTTTTCAAGTACTTCAACATGATCAAAATAAAATTACCACAGAATCTAAAGAATGCCACTAATTTATAGGTGGTATCATATTCATTATCATTTCATATTCCATATATATCTGTTGCTAAATTTAGAAGTATTTTTAAATAAATTTTTATATTATTGATTGATAATGAAATTAAAATTATATATAAAAAATCAATGAAAAGGATAAGAACTCTAATATTGATAAAAAAAGAGGTTGTTAATTTGAATAATAGGCCAAAATTTAATCAAAATTTTTGGGGCACCATTTTTATATGATAGATAGTACTTAGCAATATTTAATCCACCTTTCATATGTATTTTTTTTAATTTTTACATATATGCTTAAAATATAATTTTCTTTATAAAATTAATTAAAAGAAATATTTATTAAATATAACGCAATATTACCCTCCTCTGCCCCCGTTGAACGATTATTTAGCTTTACTAATATGGTTAACAAACCAAATCGTCAAACATTGAACGATAAATTATTTGAAAAATTAATAATATTAAAAAACAATGCTGATTTATGATGCTGATATATTAATATACTAATCATATTATTATTAAAATAAATATCGCATTATCTTATATAATAAATTTGTTATTTTCTACAATTTATTTTCATTTTTATAAATTTATATTATAGATAAGAAAATAAAGCTTTATACATTTTGATTTTGACTTTTTAAAGTTTTTTTAAAAAAGTATCTTGTATCTTAGACACTTTTTTAAAAAAAAGATACAAGTATCTTGTATCTTATATCTTATTGAAATTTTTCCAAAGTATCTAGTATCTTGTATATTAAATACAAAATTTTATAAAGTATCTGTATCTGTATCCGAATACAATTTTCTGAAAATTTACCCAACCCTGTACAGTTAATATTTAACAAATTTTACTAATAAATGCTTTTGATCAGGGATGTGAACCCCTCGACAAAAAAAAGGGTCCGGGTCCGGGTTCGGGTCCGGTAATAAATTTAAAAAGGACCCGGGTCCAGGGTTCGGGTCCGGGTTCAGAGGAAACATAAAAATAATGACTCAAAATAAGACTTTTTTTCATTCATTTTTTATTATACTTTAATATAAACACATTTAAAATTCGAAATGATATAATTTATATTTTAAATATAAATTTCAATCGCACAATCATGATATCTTCTAAAATATCATCCTTCAGATTTCCACGTAAATTAGTCAACGATGAAAATCCACGTTCTACGCTTACCTAAAATAGATAGTCATTTTTATAATACATAAATTATTGTACTTGTGTCGCCGGTACAGCCATGACGATTCTAGAAAAGGTATATTTGAAGAATTTTAAAATGTTTGCATCTCTATTTATTCTCATAACTTCCGAGAACTTTTCTATTAAAGATACAATAGATATTTTTTGCTCCTTTCTATCAGATGATAATTTAATTTTTTTTTATCTATCTAATATTAAAATTTCCAGATCATCAATATCGTTATCATTATCAATGTTATCGCTACAACCAGTAGATATTGTTGTAACCACCAATGTATTGTAAATAATAGAGTTTTGGATATGCCATAAATCTTCAAGATGGTCTATAGCCATTTGTTATTGCTCACTACTTAATAAAACGATATCGCGGGTCTAAATATATCGAAGCATATACAACACTATTTTGTAAATATTGTTGCTCTCTTATTTTCGTATTTTCTAATACTTCATTTGAAAAAGAACTTGTTAATCAACATAATTGTTCTGCTTGCACTCGTAATGTTGTTATTTTTAAAGGAACCAGCACACTAGTAAGCTCTTTTACTTGATTCCAATCATCTTCTGACAAAATGATTTCACATGCTCCTGTGATAAAATCATTACAGAAATCTTTCAAACTTAATAATCGCTCTAGCATCATACATATAGAGGACCAACGTGTTGTGCAATCTAAAATTGCCATTTACATTTTCATGGATTTTAATATTCTAACAATTGTGGGAATTCTTAAATATTTTACAACATCCCTTGCTTTATCAATTATAGTTTTAAAGTGACTATTTTTTAGGGAGATTCCACGAAAAAAATTAATAAAAAAAATTTTACATTATTTTTTAAAAATTAATAAAATTATAAAAATTTTATATTATTTTTTTAAAAATTAATAAAATTATAAAAATTTTATATTATTTTTTAAAAATTATATTTTTACATTAATTTAAAAAAAAAAATTTTAAGTTAAAAATTTTTAACACCCTGAATCCTTGGACCCTCCACTTTTTAAAAGGGTATGACTAAATACTGTCTTGCTAAACTGTCTTTCTAAAAAGCAATTAATCATAATCAATCATAATTTGATGATATAATATCTTTTAAAAAAAAAATTTCAAAAAAATATTTTTTATATTTTACATAAATCAATTTTTAATTAATTAAAAAATTGATATTAAATATCAAATAATTTAAAATTCTATTTTTACTTATTGTTATTGGGGAAAAATATATTTACTAGCTTATTACAACTTTTTTATTTTTCAATTACAAAATTTAACAAATTTATATCCATAAGAGGGCGTTAAGTACATAAATATGAAAATATATTCTTAGGAAACCAGAATAAATATTGGATAGCGCTTTTTTTGTATTTGGGTGTAAATACATGTGAAAAACCTAAAAAGAATTTAAAAAATATGGGTTTCTTTGAGAATTAATTAATGAGTAGGTTTAGAATCGAAAAATTGTAGAAAGTTTGTAAGGAACATATTGCTGGCGTTATTGATCAAAATTGCTTCATAAAAATTTATTTATTTCTTTTCTTTCATTCTTTCTTTCTTTCTTTCTTTCTTTCTTTCTTTCTTTCTTTCTTTCTTTCTTTCTTTCTTTCTTTCTTTCTTTCTTTCTTTCTTTCTTTCTTTCTTTCTTTCTTTCTTTCTTTACTTTATTTATTTCTTTCTTTCTTTCTTTCTTTCTTTCTTTCTTTCTTTCTTTCTTTCTTTCTTTCTTTCTTTCTTTCTTTCTTTCTTTCTTTCTTTCTTTCTTTCTTTCTTTCTTTCTTTCTTTCCGAAACTTCAAAATAGTCTTAACCCCTCCGATATCAGCGATATTCAACTTCTTCAATTATACGATAAATATGGCGGATATGAATGGCTCGAGGCACTTCCAAGCCTAACCCTTGATAATCTCTTAACCAATGACCAACTGAGAGTTACCATAGGATTTCGACTAGGATGCTCGCTAACACATTCACACACTTGCCACCTTTGCAACCTACCCGTACAACCAAATGCAAGACACTTCCTAAACTGCTCCCGTAGCCAAGGTCGCCACCTTCGGCATAAAGCAATAAATAAAATCATCCATAACGCTCTCAATAAAGCTAAAATTCCTAACATTCTAGAACCAACAAACCTCTCTCTACAAGATGGTCTCAGACCTGACGGTTTAACCTGCATCCCATGGTCCAATGGGAAATCCCTAATTTGGGACGCTACCTGTGTCTCTTCCTTTCCCTCATCAATTAATTCAAATCCTCTTACTAATGGCGAAAATAAAAAAATCAATAAATACTCAATATTAAATAATTTTATTTTTCAACCCATAGCATCTCAACTAATGGTAATTTCTCCCAATCAACATATTCATTCATAACAAACGAAAAACGCGAGTCAATCTTCCTAAAACAAAAAATACATTTAGAAATTTTTAAACATAATTATACATGTTTTTTAGGTACATTTTTACTATAAGCTCTTTTTAGAGCCATCGATATTCCCATAATTTATATTTTAATAATATATATTTTTTTTAAAAGAAAAAGAAAGGAAAAAGCAAAATAAAATATATTAAGTTTTAAAAAAAAAAAAATTTAGAATATTTCCATTCATTCTAGTAAGCATCATTAACCTACTTTTTGCATATCAATATTGTTTGGTATAAAAAGCATTAAAAAATGAAAATTTTGACAGCATGATCATAATATTGATAAAGAGTGATGTGAGTTTTTAGGTAAAAACCTAATAATTAATAAATATCGTAATAGTTTTCTCTATTTTGAGAATATAAATAATTATTAGAAAATAGTAGATTTTTATTAAATTTAGATTTTATAAATTTATATTGGGCATTTTGCTTTAAAAAAATTAATTGATTTATTGAATAATCTTCAATGGCTATAAAAGATAATTTCCAGATAAAACTAGTAGCATATTTTAAATTTACCTTGATTGCTTGGAGTTCCTTAATGGATTATTAATGATGCTAAGATTAAAATTTCCAGGTTAACAAGATAGCATATTTTAAATTTTCTTTGGTTGGTTGGAGTTCCTGAATGGATTATATCAAGTGATGCTAAGATTAAAATTTCCAGGTTAACAAGATAGCATATTTTAAATTTACTTTGGTTGGTTGGAGTTCCTGAATGGATTATATCAAGTGATGCTAAAATTTCCAGGTTAACAAGATAGCATATTTTAAATTTACCTTGATTAGTTGGAGTTCCTGAATGGATTATATCAAGTGATGATAAGATTAAAATTTCCAGGTTAACAAGATAGCATATTTTAAATTTACCTTGATTAGTTGGAGTTCCTGAATGGATTATCAATTGATGCTAAGATTAAAATTTCTAGGTTAACAGCATATTTTAAATTTACCTTGATTAGTTGGAGTTCCTGAATGGATTATCAATTGATGCTAAGATTAAAATTTCCAGGTTAACAAGATAGTATATTTTAAATTTACCTTGATTAGTTGGAGTTCCTGAATGGATTATCAATTGATGCTAAGAAGAAAATTTCCAGGTTAACAAGATAGCATATTAATAATATATTCTAAGAAGAAAATTTCCAGGTTAACAAGATAACATAATAGTAATATATTCTATAATTTACCTGGGTTGGTTATGGTCTCAAATGATGCTGGAGAAAATATTTTAGATAAACTTTCTAAGCAGGCAAGAGCCATAATATGATTATTTTATATAAGATTAACAAAAAATATACCAGTGCATTGTTTGGATATATGAATGATATTGTTTTTAAATATCCCTTTACCCACACATAATGGCCTGGTGCATTTGTAATACATAGTAATATTATAACTATCATATTTTCTAAAATGTGAAGGAATCATAAGGTAATATTTATATATTAAGTATATTGTTAAATTGAGCATAAAAATTTTAAGCTTAAGCAAAATTTAGGAAAAAGTCACGCGACAAAACACAAAAAAAAGTATATCATACGGAACGATATGATCGCCAATATCATTGATTGAGAACAGATACTTCTATCCAACATAATATGTGGGTCTACTATTGGGTATTAAAATCCATCGATTATCCATTAATATTTTTATTATATCATCTGAGAATTCATAACTGTACTTCATCATTTTTGGATGCAGGCCTTTAAGAATATAATAATTATATACATTCAATCTTTCAAATTAGCATGTGTTGTTCACCATTTGCCATGAAAGCAGGGATTTATCAATATAATTTTATGTATTCAAACTTTCAAATTAGAAGCTATCAATTTTACATTAGACATAATGCTATTATAATATGTGATGGTATTAAGTTATTTTAAATTCTATCAATTCTCTTATAGTTGGTAAAAGAAACAAGTAAAATATAAGTTTAATAAAATTTTATTTCTACTTTAAAAAATAAAATAATAATAAATTAAATTATAATATGTATATCAACGACTGGTATATATACTGGTATTTGTAACAAAACATTTAAATTAATACTCAATAAATTATTTTACAAATTTGAATAAACAACACAATATGTAACAAAACATTTAAATTAATACTCAATTAATTATTTTACAAATTTGAATAAACAACACTATTAACATTCCCCTCCTCGACAAAGCATCAAGTTGCTGCTCAGAGGGCGCATAAGTCTGTCTGATGGCGAGAGTCCATACGTTTTTGTAGGTTAGAAAAGTTGCTGTACGTTATCATTATTATAAGGATCAAGTTTGAATATATGGAATAAAATTTTGGAATAAAAGAATTTGGAATAAAATTTTTGGAATATAAGAATTTGGAAAAAAATTTTTGGAATAGAAGAATTTGGAATAAACTTTTTGGAATAAAAGAATTTGGAATAAAATTTTTGGAATAGAAGAATTTGGAATAAAATTTTTGGAATAGGGAATGATGTAGAATAAAAATTTTGTAATATGGAATGATGAATATATAGAATTCCATAAGAATGATAAATCAACAAAGATTATTATATAATATTCGCGTATTATGAAATTTTGCGTTTTATATTTTATTAAAAATTTAAGTTACAAAATCTTTTAAATAAAAAGGTTTTTGTTTAATTCTCAACGGTCTGAAAGGTACCTTGTTATTTTCACTTACTTCTACACTTCCCTCCTTATAAGAATTCTTAGGGTAACTTTCAAAATATTTAAATCTATTAAAACATTCTCTTTTACGCAATTGGTCTAATTGTCTCCTCACAACACCTTTATCCGTATTCACCTGGAACATGGTGTCACTCTCTTTCTGCGTGATGTTGCCTTTGCACCACGTGTCATCGCTCTGTTTCTTGTACCAAACGAAATCTCCTATATTAAAGGTTCGATTTCTCGGTAGCGATATATTAACTTTGTCAATTTTTATCCTCCAATGGTTTTAATAAGTCCCATTTTATTCTAATATCGCGGTTAAACACTCTTTTGGATGGTGTGACACCTGTAGTATTATTCGGTGTATTTCTGTAATTAAACAAGAATCTGTCCAGTGCAGTTTCTAAGTCAATCTTTATGTTTCTTTTCATGTGAGCTTTAAATGTTCTCACCATACGTTCAGCTTGTCCATTAGATTGCTGATGGTAGGCGGATGTTAGTACATGTTTTATTCCATAGTTACTACAAAATATCTCAAAGTCTTTGCTTGTAAAGTTGGTACCGTTATCTGTAACAATGGTTTCAGGTATGCCAAATAGTGAAATAGTTCTAAAAATTTCTTTCAACGTAAATTCAGTCGTGATGTTTTTCACGGGAACTATAATTGGGAATTTACTATAGGCATCGACGATTATTAACCAATTTTTTGTAAAAAATGGACCCGCATAGTCTACGTGAATCCTTTCAAAAGGTTTCGTCGCCAATACCCATGGATTTTGTATTTTCTTTGGATTGTCGTGAAAAATATTACAATCGTCGCAACTTCTAACTTCCAAATCAATGTCGTTGACCATACCAGACCACCACATGCGATCTTTGGCTAAGGATTTAATTTTACCTGCTCCCATATGACCTTCATGTAGTGCCTTTAATATGTTCTTTCTCAGACTTGTTGGAATTATTATTTTGTTGCTTTTGTACAGACAATTTTTAATAATACTAAGTTCATATTCAATATTTTGATAAGTTTTGTTTTTGATAGGCACATTATTTCTTATATCGTTAATAACTTGAGATAATTCAAAATCTTTGGACGTTTCATCACGTATTCGGTCAAAACTAAGAGGTATATCGCCAAAGTCATTTATAATTGCGATATCATCAATAACGTCATCATCAATTACTTGTGGTAGTCTTGAGAGGCAATCGGGAACAACATTGTATTTACCAGCTTTATATCTGATGTTAAAGTCGTAACCCCCCAAAATTATACTCCACTTCTGTAACCTTAATGACATAAACCTCTTTTAGATGCATCAGTCGCAATTCCGATGGGTAATTCAGGATTAAAGTACGTCAAAGATGGAGGAAGGCTAATCAACGTCTTAAGATCATCAAAACTTTTGGAGTGTTCTAAATTCCACTCCCATTTTTCCTTGTTGACAATCTTGTATAAAGGATCAGCTATTTCAGCAAAGTTGTTCAAAAATTTTCTGTAGTATCCCGCCATACCCAGAAACGTTGACAATTCCGCAGCTGATTTAGGTTCCGGCATTCTAACGATCGCCTCAATCTTGTCGTGGTTGGCGTGGATCCCATTGGCGTCGATATCGTGTCCTAAGAACCTCAGACTTTTTTTGAAGAATAAGCTTTTTGCAAAATTAGGCACTAAGCCATAAGATAATATTCTTTCAAAAACTCTTTTTATGTTGTTGAAATGAGCTTCGTCACTACTTCCCGTTATTAATAGGTCATCAATATAAAAAATGACATCTTTCATGTCACCGAAAATTTGATCCATAATCTGTTGGAAAACTGCAGAAGAAGTCTTTAACCCAAAAGGAAGTCTAGTAAACCGGTAGTATCCCCTGTGTGTGGATATGGTTAGTATATTTCTGCAGTTTATGTCGATAGGGATTTGTAAGAACGCGTCTTTGAAATCGATCTTGCTAAATTTCTTCCCCTCCTTGAGCTTAGCTATAAGATCGTTTATTCTTGGAAGTGGGTATCTTAAGTCTTCAAGAGCAGGATTAATAGTGTCTTTGAAATCGGCGCAAACCCTAACGCTCCAATTTTCTTTGTAGACAGCGGTTATAGGACTTGCCCATCGAACATCCGTCACCGGCTCAATGACTCCCTCGTCTATCCATCTTGTAAGTTCTTTAGTTACAGCATCTATTTTTGAATAAGGTATACGCCTTGGTGGTATTATCTTAGGTTTGGCATCATTTCGTAAATGTATCTTGACGTTAACTTAGTTGATTGGTTTGGTAGTCAGTTTAAATTCACAATCTTTTATTAATTTATTTATTCCATCTTCATAATTGATATCGATGTTTGCTATAAACTTGTTCAAAATATTTCTAAAGGCATTGATCCACATTCGTCCCAATAATGCATTTTTATTAGACTTTACGTTCCCTGCTAGCAAGTGTTTGGCGATACCATCGTAGCTTATTTTAACTTGAGTTACGCCGATAATTTCAATTAAGTTTCCATCATAAGCTGAGAGTTGTAGAGTGGACTTTTTAAGATCTTTAATACCATTTGTTTAGCCATTTCATGAGGTATAATTGTGAATTTAGATCCAGTATCGACTTGCATTGTAACGGTAACATCGTTTATTTTTAAGGAAGTCATAAATGCATTGTCATTGAGTTTATGCTCGGTTAAATTGTTGATATTAAAATCACTATCATTATTATTTTGTGTAACATCATTTTTATTTTCCACAATCTCTTCAATATTTATATTGCAATTGTTGCTATTACTTTGGCTCTGATCATGATATTGTATTTGTTTTCTTAGATTATAGTTTTTCCATGTATTGTTTCCACCATCTCTATTATTGTTATGACAGGCATTATTTCTATCATAATTGTTTGAATTGCTATTATCGTGCCACCTGAAGTTTCTTCCGTTATAGTTTGAATTGTTGTTGTTTTGCCAGGCATTGTTTCTATCATAATTGTTTGCATTATTGTTATTGTGCCACATGGAGTTTTAGTTTGAATTGTTGTTGTTTTGCCAGGCATTGTTTCTATCATAATTGTTTGCATTATTGTTATTGTGCCATATGGAGTTTCTTCCGTAATAGTTTGAATTGTTATTCGAAGATTGGTTATTACGAAAATTTCTGGAGTTACCCTCACTGTCTCGAAAATTATTGTTTTGATAGTTTCGGCTAGCATTATCATTAGGCCTAAAATCATTATAATTCCTCTTCTTAAAATCAAAATTTTCCTTACGAGTGTTACGTCCATTATAATTAAAATTATTTTCTCTAAAATTATTACGTTCATTATCATTAGAATTATTCTCATTATTACTAAAAGTACTTTTGCATGGTATTTTATCAATATTTGAATTAAATTTTTTTTTATTTTTATCCAATTTTTTATCATTGTCTACATAATTTGTATCGCTAACGTCTGGTTTAATATTACTACCATCTAACTCAACTCCTAATTTAATCATCTCATCTACAGTCCAATCCTTATGCTTATTCAGCTTCCTTCTGATATGATCGTTTAAAGTAGACGTTATCAATTTCTCCTTAATTCTACTGTCATCTATGAAATTGCACTTCTTATGTAATTTATGTATTCTATAGAAAAATGTGTAAAAAGACTCGTCGTCACGTTGTACCGCTAAGTTAAAATTTTTTGTTTTGGAAATCTGAGATAAGGATCGCATTTAGCAGTAAGTTTGTTGTCCATAATAAAAATTTCACTTTAAGAAAATACTATATGTTTTAAGTTATGAATTTCATATCGAACAAAAAAATTGAGTTCAACGTCAAACGGAATTAAATAATTCAATGTCTTTAAATTTTATATCGTTAAAGCAAATCAAAAAAAAATCCAATGCTTTAATTTTGAGTCGTCAAAGGAAATTAGATAATTCAATCTCGTTGAATTTTAAGTCGTCAAAGGAAATTGGATAATTCATTAAATTTAAGTTTTTAAAGAAAACTAGATTATTCTAAATCTTTAATTTTAAGTTATAAAAGAAAATCAGATAATATTTTGTCTTTATATTTAAATTATCAGAAAACTATAACATAAAATGTCTAATTCGTAATAAATTTATATACTATCATTTGTAGCATAATAAGCGTATCAAAATATAAATTGGCGTAAAATTGTAAGTTTTAACATTTTGCGATCACGCAATTTACCTTTTGTTTATGTATAAGTATATGTCCTTCGAATTTTATTTTCTTTTTACATTTGTTTTTTAATTTAAGGCAAATTTTTTATATATCATTTATTTACTTCTTTTTTTTTACAAAAACGTGCCGGGGCACCATAAAAGAAACGGATTCAGGTCTAAATCGCACTAATCAAAATAGCATAAACATACTCACTTTATGTTACCACTAGAAAATTTAAATAATAAATAACATATATTATAAATATTTGTTTAGAAAGATTAATAGATAAAAAATATATACATGTGTAATAAATATTACATATATATTATATTAAATAAATATAATAAAATATTAAATATATACTTAAATATTACATACATATATAATTAATAAATATACCATATATAATTTACCTACATATTATAAATATGCTGTTATTATAATATATAATCAATATGTTACTTAAATATATATATCTTAAATAAATATTTTAAAATATTAAATATATTTAAATATTATTTATATGTATATTACAAGTATAATAAATTCATATACCATATATAATTTACCTACATATTATAAATATAATCTTATTATAATTTAGGTATATATTATCTTAAATAATATCGATATACAGTAAAATTAAATATATATATCTTAAGTAAATATATTTAAATATTATTTATATGTATATTACATGTATAATAAATATATATACCATATATAATTTACCTACATATTACATATATGATGCAGTGGCGTAGCTACGGGGGTGGTTTTCGGGTTTGGAGATTATTTTTAGATTATAAGTTCAAAAGACTTAAAAGTGATTTTATATCAATTATATTTTTCTGGTTTTGATGTTTGTGGAAGGATATTATATTACTATTGAAATTATTCTGGATAGTATTATTATAAAGTCATTGAGAATAATCTACTAAATTATAATAACATATTATTGATGTATTAAAATATATTTATTATATATTATCGAAGATATGGTTATTTGTAAGATAAACCCGGCCGAAGGCCTTTGCAAAAGAGCCGAAGGCCCGTTAAAGGGGATCTGGGAGGCGAAACCCCCCAGCTATATGTATGGACCCCCTCTAAGGAAAATTCCTAGCTACGCCATTCATATGATGTTACTATAATTTAGGTGTATAACAAGTTTACTACTAGGGAAGCAATCGAAATTTTTTTTAATTTTTATTTATTAGTAAAACCATAATAAAATAAAATTAAAATTAAGTAGAATTCATCTTTGTTTTTGAGTAAAATGTGCTAAATTATCAAAGTTATTGCTAGATTTCAATTTTTTTAATAATTTTTTTTCAATCGAAATAAAAAATAGATTTAAAATTTAAAAATATTTTTAATTTATTTATTAAAAGTTAGTGGAATATCATAAAATTATTTTACAAATTTCTAAATTAATTGCTTAAAATAATTTGGTGCATCAATGGTATTGTTTATAATTATTAGGTGTCAAGGCTAAGCGAAGATTTATAAATTCCCTTGCATGATAAAAATATCCTTCACAATCTTAAACTGATATCTATAGATGTTTTAATATTATATATATTTTTTTATTATATTAGTCTTAATATTTTTATAATATATATTTATTTAAATTATATGCTCATACATATGAGGAAAATTAGCACTTATTTTTATTTTTTAGATAAATAAAACGTTAAATAAAAGTATATCAAAATTTATCTATAAACAGATACAGATACCTCTGAAGTAGTATATAGATACAGATACTTTTTATACAACTATGATAATCCTAATAAATTTATAATTACAATTATTGAACATTAATTATTGCTTTTAAAAATGAAAAATATTCTTACTCATGATATAGTTTATATTTTTGTTTGTAGAGCGATAACTATTTTTATCTATTTTTTTGTTTATTTTTTTTGTAGAGCGATAATACTTTTATCGATTTTTTTTTGTTTAATTGTTTTTTATGTAGAGCGATAACTATTTGTATCAATAATATTTTGTTAGTTTTTTTTTCGCAATAAAAATTTGATTAATATTTTATTGTTTGTAGAAATATATATAAAGTGAAGAAAAAATAAAATATAAATAATATAGTTGTTTTCATTCATTTTTTCCCCTTGCTACAAAATATTTTGTTTTTTAAAAAAAATTGCAAAGAGAAAAGTAAAATTAAAATTAATACCGGAAAAAAGAAGTAAAATAAATTTACGTTAATTAAAATTTATATATTACTATCATCCGATTTTAATAATACTTTTAAAAAAGTGATAGTGCCTATTTAAAATTTTATGATAAAAACTTTCTTTCAATGGTTCAATGGATCCTTGTTTTGATACAATCTTCATCATTAGATTTCTCTCTAATGGGGTTGATAATAAATCTAAAAGCCCTAATCTCAATCATTCAGTGGACTAATCTTTTAAGATGTTTTGTTTATAATTCCATATTAAATTAACTGAAGGTCCAACCCTATTAAATTATTTAAAAATTAATATTATTTAGAGTGACCAAATAGATATTTTATACCTTAATAATGTTAATATAAAAAAATAATAATTTAATATACAAAATATGGTTAAGGACATCTAGTTAATAAAATATTAATATTCATGATATTTGATTAAGTCTCTTAAATATATTATTTAGTTTTTATTTATTTTGTTAAAATATATTTCAATAAATAAAAATATTACCAATAGAGCATTATATGTACCAGGATTAGTTGAATGTTGCTTTTATACAAGTAAATGATAATGGCAAATGTTAAAATATCGAGTGTGAAATTATTTAACTTCTTTAATAAATTTCTAAATGTTATTGTTATCTTCGTAACTTATTGTCTTAAACCTAGCAAAAACATTTTTAAAAAAATTCACTAATAAATCTTTTATTTTTTGATAAAATATTTTATTTATGTATGTATATAAAAAAATCAACATTTACAAATTTATTGTTATAAAATAAAACTATAATAAAATTAAAAACGGATATTTATTGATAGTTTTAATATTTAAAATTTACTAAAAAAGAAATTTTATCTAAAAATTCTGTAATATCAGAAGTTCTTTCATATATTTGTGTTAAATTTGTAATATGCTCATCGATTCTTTCATATTTTCTATTTCTTCGCCGCACTCTAGATCTAATTATTGATCTGGATAATTTTGAAGTCGTTAGAATGTTGATGACCTATTAAAGTTTTTATAAGAATGTAAACATTTGGGTGAGCGTGTGCCGTTTTTCTTTTTAAGGCATGATGAAACCCCTCTAGATGATTTTTGGTGCGGGGACCATCGACTTTATATCTAAATTATATAAAAATTTTAAAAATTAATTAATTATATTTTAAATGCCTTGTCCATATGCCATGAGGAAATATGGCATTAAGGCCTAGCCATGTCGTATCCATATACTCCATAAAATCCATGAGCATGGGATTTTCAGACGCCATAATATAACAATTTTGCCTTACCCTAGATATATCTTCCTCCTTACAAAAAGGCAAAGTTGTCATGCGCCTAACAACTTTGTGAACATTGGAGTGGTTCAGGTACAAGCTTACCAACCCTAAAGAATGACATCTTCGCCATAACGCTTGCGAATAATGGAAAAAACATCTTATACAAAATTATATTAGAATATAAATCATAAATTTAACCCTTTATAATCATGCTAGGAAATACAAACTTGAGAGCTGATATAGAAGCTGCCTCAAAGTCTGTTTGGCCAAATCAAGGATTAAAGGTTATCTGGCGTTCGGCGCAAAAATTAGTAATAATTTGAAAAAGCCGGATATTTTCTTTTGTCTTGTCCGGAAGGAGAGCGTAAATAATAGGTATCATAACACCTTCATACATAACATGCAAGGTATAAAGTTGATAAAATAATGTAGGAGCTTCATGAAAAGTTCCATCCATGTAGATCTTGTTAGAACCCTCGGTCAAACGCAACATGGAATCAGTACCAAAAACATATAAGTTACCTGTTCCATGGATTAGAAAACGTTCATTGCGAGTTGTCATAGCATATTCTGCTGATAACTCAATATCCAAAATTGAATGAGGCATAGGGGGCCGATATTTCATAAGGAGTCAGTCTATGTGACTCCTCAAAGATATAAATGATGGTATCGCCTCAGAATAGTTTTCTATTTCTGGATCCTCCAAACATCTCTTATTCATAGTTTGTTGATAAATGTGTAATATTTATATTTCGATAGTTTAATTTCAATAATATTAAATGTAATTAGTTGCAGTTATATTTCAAAAACTAGTTACATAATAAGTTACTTTATACAACATTCATAAACGCATATATTTAACATAAAAATTTGGATATAATAATTATAATCAATTATTTGAAAAAAATATACAATTTATTTATATAAAAAAAATAATTAAACCGAAAAAAATATCGGACCCTAAATCTCCGGGTATACAGGCCAGGACGTATTTTAATTTTTTTTTAAATATACTCAGGCAGGGCCTGAAATTTTTTTAAAAAAAAATACTTGTGCCAGGCAGTATACTTTAAAACCAAATATTTGAAATAGCCATTATTAGCTATAAAAATCAAAAATAAATATGATATATTTTTAAAATGTCCGAACCAGACCTGATAGTAAGTAATTAATTTAGTAGTTTATTCAAAAATAATTAAGTCTTTGTCGTTTTCATAATTATGTTCTATGATTTAATTTAGCAAAATTAAAAAAAAACATTAATAAAATTATTTTAGCATATCCTTTATACTTAATATTCTTTACATAACATGACCCTTTTTAAGAAACCCCTTTTTTTATAAATAAATATTCTCTTCGCATAATTATATCCAATTTTAAACTCGTGAATATATTCTTCCCTTTAGAACCAACTCATTTTTTTATTATTTTCTCCTTCGCGTCTGATTTGTTATTTCAACCCATTAGTATTCACCTCATTCCTTTTTTTGTGGCTATATTCAATGTATATTTTAAAAAAAATCAAGCCTCTCCCCCTCTAAAGCTTTATTTAAAAATATTTTTTTAGTTTTTCTAGCGCTTGCTACTTCCCTTTTTATTTATATTCAACGCTTTCGTCGCTACATTATTTTTGAACACTTTAATTAAAAATTCTCGCTCTCGTTAAAACTTTGGCTTCTACCAAATTAATTCATTTTAGAGCACCATTATGCCGTTCTCTTTATTTATCACCGCACTATTCCATGAAATCTCCAAATATTTGTCTCGCAAGATGATTTTGAATATTTTATACCCCACAAAGTACAACTCATTTCTAATCTAGAAACTAATCATTTCACTCTTATTACATCCCTCGTCGTTTTTTAAACCAAAATTTATTATCTCTTCACACATTGGTCACAAACAAAATTGTTTATCTCTGCAAAAAATTATACATTCATATAAATTGAAATCTCTTTCCCCTTCGAGCATTAACTTTCGGCACTACTCTGAATTTCAATACTTATACATTTTCACTCCCACATTTATATATTTCTGTATTAATATCAAGCTCTCCCACAATTTTACTATGAGCGTTTTGAGCTCTCTATATAATTTATTTCTTTGACTCCAAAATAATTTAACACAGCATTTGTACACTTTATTTTCAATAATTATTAATTAAACAAATCAAAAATTCCAACAATATATTTTTTAAAACTAAATTTCATTTAAAACAATTATTGATCACAGATGATCCAAAAAAGGCCATATCAATCAAAATTTGTCGATCCAAATGTATATTTATACATGGGTCATTAAGCCCCGCCGACAAAACCATTTCTCTTCTTTTAATTATACATTAATACCTAGAATATAGATAGAGTATTATAATTTTAATAAATAATATTAAAATAATAAAAAATATATTAAAAATGAAATATATTATTTAGATTATAGAGAGAAATGTTATGCAAGCTTTAGATTTTGATCATAGGTGGCACAGTGGGTTGAACATCTAAAACAAAATCTCGAGGCTTACATAATCTGGATAAAATATTGAGTTAGCCGTGTTTATTAAAATGAGCTGTTTAACAACACTATCATTTTGTATAATAACAATGAACCAATTTTAAAAGATAAAATATATTTTTTATTATATAAATAATATATAGATAGAGCCTATAACTAGCCAAGATGCTAGTACAAGTGACTTATCACAAATTTCTGATATATCTACATCAAGTAATTTAAATATTTCGAATATATTCAAAATGACTCCGACGAAATCTCGTCGGAAATGTATATACTGCAATACACATTATAGTTTAAATACAGCCACAAGTACGTATTTTTAAAATTTAATATACAATTATAATATATATTTTTAGCAAATTTAAAACGACATATTTCTATATCCCATTCTCATCTAAGAATAGAAAATAAAAATAAAAAAATTAATTCTTTAGTAGGAATAAGGAAATTACTTCCTCATGAAAATACGCAATTAAACAAATTGATTATAAGATATATAATAAAAAATAACATCTCATTTAATAAAATAGAATCTCCATTTTTCCGAGATATTTTCTCATTTATATTTAAAAATGAGAAGATTTGGTGCAGACAAACTGCTGCCTGCTATGTAAAAGATTTATATCATAAATCTAAAAATAAAATTATTAAAGACCTTAAACAGGTAAATAGTAAAATCAGCCTGACAACTGACTTATGGACAGGAATAAATTCCTTCTCATATTTATCAATAACAATACATTATATTGATAATGATTGGAAATTTGTTAATCTCCTACTTGATTTAATTGAATTACCTCACCCACATACGGGGACAGAAATATCACAATCTATCCAAGCTTCTCTCGAATCATTTAAAATTCATGATAAAGTTATGGCGGTTACTCATGATAATGCTAAAAACATGTTAGCAGCATCGCGTATATTGAGTGAAACTTATACAGAGTTATATGGTTCATCTTTGTATAACCATAGGTGTCTTGCTCACATAATAAATATTATTGTGGGTGAGGGAATGATTGTTTTGAATGATAAATTAGAAAAAATAAATAAATTTGTCAAAAAATTGCACACATCACCAAAATATATGAAAGAATTTTTAGACATAACTGGAGGTATACGCATACCACTTGATGTCGTAACTAGATGGAATTCTAAATTTTTGATGATATCCTCTATTAACAAAGTAATTATGTTTACTTTTTATGTTTAATATTTTTTTTATAGAATTTAGATGCAGTCAATAAATTGGGGAAAAAAGGGAGCCACCAAGATGGCCAATTATTTATAAATAATGAAGAATCAATTTTTTTAAAAGATGTAGAGGATTTTTTAAAACCCTTTTACAAGATTACTTTAGAAGCTTCATCAGCTACAAATACAACCATTGGCTCATCTGTATTATTCATAAACTGCATTGAAAATATTTTAAATGATTATATTACTGGTGATACCGTATTGAAAAATACAGCGGAGGTGATGTTAACAAAATGTCAAAAATATATTAAACATATGACATCAATTTCCAATTTTATATCAAGTATATTGGACCCTAAAACAAAGCAGAAATTTTTACCTAAATTTATAAATAAATCGGAATTTTTTCATCAATTTAAAACTTTATATACGAAATATAACAACACATCAAAGTCATCAGCCTCTGAAAATGATATCTTGGATAATGAGGCATTACCATTTTCTGTAAGCATGCATAACATTCTAAGAAAGTAAATATATGATTACATATATATATATATATTTATTATTTAGGGGTGCGTTACAAAATGATCCATTGACCGACGAAATATCGCTTTATTTAAGAGAAGATGTAGCAAGTCCAATAACAAATGTATTAGAATGGTGGTCGAATAATAAAAATTCATATCCTAATTTATCTTTAATGGCTAAAGATTTCTTAGCTCAACAAACCACGAGTGTTGCTAGCGAAAGAATCTTTAGTAAGGCAGTCGAATGTATAACTAAAAAGAGAAATAAAATGTCGTCAACAACACTCAAACATTGCATATCTCTAAATTGTTGGGAAGTTGATATTGAATAAAAATTTATTTTTTAAATGTATATGGCAGTAGTATTATAATGTAACTTATTAATTATATAATAATGGTTTACATAAAAAAGCGCAAATATTCTTTATATTGTTTTTCAATATATAAAATTTAAATATTCGTATATTAATAAAATACCATAAATTCATGTGTTAATTTTTGTTATTGAACTCGTCATTACCAGATAAGTCCTATTTTTTAAAATATTCTTGAGTCATAAATAAATTTTTAAATGAGAATTATCAGCTTATGAATTAATTTACTAAAATATTTTTAATATTCATTATCATCTTTATTAAAAAAACACTGAAAAGTTTTTAAAGGAGATTTATCAGCAACTTAATTAATTTTTCGTAACTTTAGTAAAGGTGATAGACAATAACCTTGAAGCAATATTTATTGATTGATTGTCCGAAAAATAGATGAAATGTTATAATATAAGGCATTTTCAATCATGGAAAAAGATTGTGAAATGAAATTGTAAATAATTTTCATATGTTTTTTTTTCGTCTTGCCTTTCTTTCTTTCTCTGGCTCATAGGAAATTTAAATATGCCTATTCTTTAAATTTTTTAAGTATCTAATAAAAAAATGAATCAGTTTCATCGATACAACACCACTACAAAAATCTCAGTATATAGAAAGGATAAAAGAATTTACGATTGAAATTAATTATGATCAAAATATTTATGGTATTATAAAATAATATTTATTAATATTAATTAAATTATAGTTATTATGCAAAAGAAATTAATGGTGCCAGATAGGCGCTAAAATTATTTAAAATAAGAAATAAAATCTTAAAATGTGATGAATTATTCAATTTAGGCAAATAAATAAACAAAACAACTTATAAAAATAAGGAAAAATATATGAAAATTTCAGAATATACTATTTTTTAAATTAAATTTTATTTTTTGATTTTAAAAACATAATAATTGAAAAATCATTTTTCTAAAATTAAGGTATGATATGGTTATTTATTGAATTAATTCATATATCAATTTTCACGTGGAACCAGATACTGGATTAAGAATAAAAAAAATGAATTAGAAGTTGCAATCATCAGATAATTCCGATGATCGATCATAATCACTCTTATCTAGGTTTGATTTTGAACCTCAAATATCAATATTGAAAAAGATATTTTTGTATAATTTATTTTCTAGGTTTTCAAAGATATTTTATTTATTTTAAACATTTATAAGTTTAAAAAAAATCAATTGATAGTTAAATATATATATCATATTGAATCCTTTAAATAAATTGTAATTTACACCCTTCTTTTGTGTGATATAATCTTGACTTCATTTATAATTGAATTTTCTTTGCTTTTGGGAAAAAGTGTAAAATTAAATTTTAATCCACGTCGATGTTAGTTACATACAAAAAAATCCAAAAAGTATTTTTAATCTAATTACCTTCTCTCAACATTAATATCCAAAAAAGTAATCGGTACTTTAGTATTAAAAATGAAGCATATATTTTTTAATGTTTACCTAATAAATTTTAAATAACTAATAAAAGTTTAAATTTTTAAATCGGTCCGTTATCACTTTTAAAATTAGATGGAAGGGCGTAAGCTAAATCCTAGCTCGTTTCAGCAATGATTCTAAAGATCTTAAAATTAACGAATATATTAATTGTCATATGTCACATCCTCATTTAAATTTCAAATTAACATGTTTACAATTTATTTTACTCTGTTACTTCAAAAAAGTTAAAAAAATAATGATTATGAGAATTATCACTAGTCTATGGTATATCTTCACTGAAATTTTAATATAACATGTTTACAATATATATTTTTACACATTTGCTTCAAAAAATTTCAAAAAAACATATAAATGACGATTATGACAATTGTCACTTTTCTATGGTATATCTTCACTGAAATTTTAATATAAAATGTTTACAATATATATTTTTACCCATTTGCTTCAAAAAATTTCAAAAAAACATATAAATGACGATTATGACAATTGTCACTTTTCTATGGTACATCTTCACTGAAATTTAAATATAACATGTTTACAATATATATTTTTACCCATTTGCTTCAAAAAATTTCAAAAAAACCTATAAATGACGATTGTGACAATTGTCACTTTTCTATGGTACATCTTCACTGAAATTTAAATATAACATGTTTACAATATATATTTTTACCCATATGCTTCAAAAAAACTTAAAAATGACGATTATGACAATTGTCACTTTTCTATGGTACATCTTCACTGAAATTTTGATTCAACATGTTTACAATATATATACCTTGCTTTAAAATAATTTAAAAAAAGTTCAAAAATAACAATTTATAATTTTAACCTGTTCCTTCAAAGAAAAATAAATTCAAAAAATATTAAAAATAACTTATATATAACTCATATAGTTATTTTAATGACAAATTCTCACTTTACTTCTTTTTGTTTATCTTCTCTGATTAGTCGACTAAATTAGTCGCTTTTAGTCGACTAATTAGTCGTTTTTAGTCGACTAATTAGTCGTTTTTAGTCGACTAATTAGTCTTTTTTAGTCGACTAATTAGTCGTTTTAGTCGACTAATCGACTAATTTAGTCGCTAAAGTTTTTAGTCGATTTCCTCGACTACGACTATTAGTCTTAGTCGGAAGAAATCAACTAATTAACAACACTACCCGAAGCAATATAAGCACCATCAAATATGCATTTAGCATGACAATCAGCTACTCTACAACGATATTTTATAATGTCCCTATTTTGACAGTGAAATCTATATAGATAGTTCTGAAATAAGAGTAACATTTTCCCCTTTTGGCTTTTGACAAAACGAGCCTCTAGTTAATTAAAAATAATATTAATGCAATTTATTATAATTATTTTTACCATAAATATTTGAATTTAAGTCTAATAAGACTTGGGCTATGTCAAGAGGGGAATCTAGATTTGTGTCAGGCACTATGGGAGAAACTTGTGCTTCCAAATATGGAATACCATTGGATGAAACTAGATTATAAAGAAAATCGTCAAGTTAAGAATTTTTAAAATTTTTATTTACTTGAGATATCAGGCACTATGAGAGAAACTTGTGGTTCCAAATGTGGAATACCATTGGATGAAACTAGATTATAAAGAAAATTGTCAAATTAAGAATTTTGAAAATTTTTATTTACTTAAGATATCAGGCAAAATCACAGAATCTTGTGATTATGTTTATGGAAGACTAAGATGGGTGTTATTTTATTAAAAATAAAGATGTTTAAATATCTTAAATATTTATTTTATTACATTTACACTTCGCTGTGTGTTCTATCGTGATTATTATGTCCTTTAATGAGAGCTTAGCTCTACCAGAACAATTATCACGACAACTTAAGTGTATAAATTTTTTGTTGGCACTTTTTGTACTCGTACCCTAAATAAATTATTAAATGATTTCCTTTTTGAGTTTTCTTAAAAGTAAAAAAATATATAAAACAATATTACTTCAAATTTAATATTTTGAATCTTAAGGTAACATTCCAAATTATTGGCAACAGTGGCTATCATCTATAAATATTTGAATTATTTTTAAAAATTTATTAAGAATATATAAATCTATATTAAATCAGTGCTATTATAATTATTAGAGTAATACATATAAATTAAATTGTTACTGTTAACAATTGTAAAAATGGAATATCAAGATCACTCACAATGTCAAATATAGTATTGATAGTTTAAGCTTAATTGATTTATATTTTACAATCTTAATTAATTAAATATAATCATTTATTAATTGAAAATAAAATTAATCCAATTTAATGGTGTGATTTGTGTTGTCAAGTTTAATATCAATAATCAACTAAATCACTCTTTTTTAAATTTAAGCCTTTAAGAAAATTTCTAAAATTTAAATCAGTATCCAAAACTTCTTAGTGAAAACTCTAACTATATTTAATTAATACATCTTTATAAATTATATCATGATCATTAAGTTCAATATCAAAATTTAAGCCTCTAAGAAAATTTCTAAAATTTAAACCAGTATACAAAACTTCTTAGTCAAAGTCAGTATTCAAAACTTCTTAGTGAAAACTCTAACTATATTTAATTAATAAATCTTTATAAATTATATTATGATCATTAAGTTCAATATCAAAATTTAAGCCTTTACTAAAATTTAAACCAGCATACAAAACTTCTTAGTCAAAGTCAGTATTCAAAACTTTTGAGTGAAAACTCTAACTATATTTAATTAATACATCTTTATAAATTATATTATGATCATTAATTTCAATATCAAAATTTAAGCCTCTAAGAAAATTTCTAAAATTTAAACCAGTATACAAAACTTCTTAGTCAAAGTCAGTATTCAAAACTTCTTAGTCAAAGTCAGTATTCAAAACTTCTTAGTGAAAACTCTAACTATATTTAATTAATACATCTTTATAAATTATATTATGATCATTAAGTTCAATATCAAATCAGTATTCAAAACTTCTTAGTGAAAACTCTAACTATATTTAATTAATAAATCTTTATAAATTATATTATGATCATTAAGTTCAATATCAAAATTTAAGCCTTTACTAAAATTTAAACCAGCATACAAAACTTCTTAGTCAAAGTCAGTATTCAAAACTTTTGAGTGAAAACTCTAACTATATTTAATTAATACATCTTTATAAATTATATTATGATCATTAATTTCAATATCAAAATTTAAGCCTCTAAGAAAATTTCTAAAATTTAAACCAGTATACAAAACTTCTTAGTCAAAGTCAGTATTCAAAACTTCTTAGTCAAAGTCAGTATTCAAAACTTCTTAGTGAAAACTCTAATATATTTAATTAATACATCTTTATAAATTATATTATGATCATTAAGTTCAATATCAAATCAGTATTCAAAACTTCTTAGTAAAACTCTAACTATATTTAATTAATAAATCTTTATAAATTATATTATGATCATTAAGTTCAATATCAAAATTTAAGCCTTTACTAAAATTTAAACCAGCATACAAAACTTCTTAGTCAAAGTCAGTATTCAAAACTTTTGAGTGAAAATAACTATATTTAATTAATACATCTTTATAAATTATATTATGATCATTAAGTTCAATATCAAAATTTAAGCCTCTAAGAAAATTTCTAAAATTTAAACCAGTATACAAAACTTCTTAGTCAAAGTCAGTATTCAAAACTTCTTAGTGAAAACTCTAACTATATTTAATTAATACATCTTTATAAATTATATTATGATCATTAAGTTCAATATCAAAACTTCTTAGTAAAAACTCTAACTATATTTAATTAATACATCTTTATAAATTATATTATGATCATTAAGTTCAATATCAAATCAGTATTCAAAACTTCTTAGTGAAAACTCTAACTATATTTAATTAATACATCTTTATAAATTATATTATGATCATTTTCAATATCAAAATTTAAGCCTAAGAAAATTTCTAAAAAACCAGTATACAAAACTTTATATATTACTTGCACTTTTAATTTTTTATCGCTTCAGATATGGCGGCCATTTTTGAATATGTTATTTTGAAGACGTTTTAAAACATACTCAATTTATGCTATTTTGAGCAATGCTATTTAGTGGTCCACCGAAAGAAACAAGTAAAATTTTATTTCTACTTTAAAAAATAAAATAATAATAAATTATAATATGTATATCATCGACTGGTATATATATTGGTATTTGTAACAAAACATTTAAATTAATACTCAATAAATTATTTTACAAATTTGAATAAACAACACAATATGTAACAAAACATTTAAATTAATACTCAATTAATTATTTTACAAATTTGAATAAACAACACTATTAACAGTTGGATAATGCTAATATTCTAAGAATTTAATCTGTCTTGATTTCTTACCATTGTACACCATCTGCCTTGAAAGCAGGAATTTATCAGTGTAAATTTTATATGTTGAAACTTTAAAAATTAGCAGTAAACAATTTTACATTATATACATAATAGTAATACTATTGTAGATGGAGTTTGATTATTTTAAAATTTAAATAAATCTCTTGTAATTAAAATGCTAATATGTATTCATGTCATTAGCGTACGCAGCGGAAGAGGGAGGGCAGGGAAACAAATCCCCCCCAAGCCAAAAAATGCAGATGTCGGATAAATTTTTCAAAAATAAGTTGTATTATAATATTTAATCCATTCTCTTTCATTTTAAGTATATATTTAATTACATTTATTTATCACATTCATTTACTAAGTTATTTAACAATTAATTTCGATTTCAAGTTTTTATTGGCGTAATATTTGTCTATTTTATAGTCAAATAATAATTATGAACATAAGAAATTTTTTTAAACATATTGATGATGATGAAAATCCTAGTCATCTTACAAAAAAGCAAAAAAGTACAAATAATTTTATAACATTTCATAATTAGCCTAGAAGTAAGACATAAGCTTCTTAAAAAGGTAATAAAGATTCCTAAGATTAATATTCTATTTAATAATAGATTTATATTACACCCCTCAAATTTCACACAAACTTTATGTGCTAATTGAAAGTTAAAATTTCAAAACAGCTATTTTACTAGATGGTTGTGGCTAGAATTCTCTATCTGAGACAATGGAGCTTATTGCAAGTTATGAGTCCTGTTAGTTAAGTCAACAAGTACAAAGATGCTGGATAAATCTTTGACAATAAAACAAATTTATCACAAACGCGGTGAACCCATTATTTCTTCAAATTAATTGCGGGGATATGATCCCCATTTTATCACATATTGACAAAAATAGGATTTAAATAGCAAAAGAAAATAGAGATCAAGCTAACTATTGAGGCTACACTATATTGTGGATTGCAGGGCCCAGAATTACATGGTCATTTGGATTCAGGAATAATTATAATGAAGGTAATTTTTGTGGTCTTGTAAAATTTCAAGCATTAGGAGATTCTGTAAACAGAATTATTTCTGAAAATCCCTGTCCAACAAGGAGAAAGACATTGCAAAAAGCTTGTCCGACGAGATGGAGTCTTTGCCATCAAAACAGCTTTTATAGAGTTAGAAGAGTTGATTATTATGCTCTTACTGAAAAATCACACCTGAAGGAGATATATCCTCAGAAGCAAGCATATCATTGGTTTCAATAATTACTTTTTTTTCTCATTAGAATATATATTATACAACTATTTTATGTATTTTTAAAAACATAACATTGACTTGATTGAAACGATGAGAATAGCGGAGAGCATTTTATTAGAACTCAGGGAAATTAGGGCCAATGTTGTTGAAGAATTTTATATTTTATATAAAATTTCTGAGTAAAAAGCTGAGCTATATGAGATTAACATTTTCTCCCTCGACTTTCAGCGAGGCAAGCTCATCGTCCTAACATTAATATAGGGTCAGTAGAAGAGTATTATAAAATAAATGTCTTTATCCCTCTCTTAGATACATTTATATACAAATAGAACGGGTTTTAATTCATCAGACAGCACTTAGCAGTCTGCAGATATTACTTCCACAAAAGCCTTACCAACCTTTTTTAGATAGTAATAGAAAAAAAAAATATTTATCAGATTTTTTTCATGAAGATGTTAAAGTATCTTATGATGCCTTATTAGCTGAATGCCAACTATAGTATATAAAAGATTAACTATGGTTGATATAGTCCCAAAAAATGCTATGGATGCTTTGCATCATTTCATACATTTTTAAGATTATTTTCCCAATGTATAATAAATTATATATATTAGCAACACTTCACATTAGTACTGCAACTAATGAGAGAACATTCCCTTCTTTAAGAAGAATAAAAACATTCCTAAGGAGTACAACTTCTGACATTATATTGAATGGTTTGGCCCTTTTGAATATTCATAGGCATTTGACGCCAAGCACAGATGAGATAATTTAACAATAATACATATAAATTTATAATATGCTTCTTAATTATTTTATGTGCGAATAAATATTTTAATTATATTTTTTCATGAATACTTTTTAAGTTATTACAAACAAAATACAATTATTCCTAAGAAACTTTTGTAATAATTTATATTTCCAACATTTGAATTTTTATACTTTATATATAAATAAATTTTAAAGGCTCAAATTTAAATTTCTATTTTGGGTCATTTATTTTATAGTGATTTCTGATTTATATGCTGGTTATATTTACTTAACATTTTATAATTCACATTTATATTATAGTTTTTCATATGCCGCCGGTTATATCCGTTTAATATTTTTTTAATTCACATTTATTTTATAGTTTTTTATATGCCAGTTTATATACTTATTTTTTATAATTCATATTAATTTAAAATTCTGTATTAGAAATAGTTATTAGTCCTAAAAAAAATATGCTTGATATTTTTAAATAACAATGATTTTATTTTAAAAAATTTTAAACCCCTCCCCACACCAAATTCCTGCGTACGCATGATTCATGTATTCCAAGAATTTAATAATTATCATCTGATTGAATTTATAAATATACAGAAACATAAACTTAAAAGTTTACAAATATCATTGAACTATAATCATGAAATGATAATATCAATTATCAGCTGATTTTGAATTCATAACTAAATGCTTTTATCTATATTTGTGCTTTAGATAGAATGTCCTTAAATTGAAAATTAATATTTAGTTTCATGGATAGATATAAAAAATAATAATAACAACCGTTAAAAAATATATTTAAAAAAAATATCAAATACGTGTAAAAAATAAATTACTAAATATAAACTATCACATATTTACACTTATAAAAATAGAATTATTTTATGAATTCTTGTATAATTTTATTATATTTATAGATCTATGGTGTAAATATAATTTTTTTTTAATAAATATAAATAATACAAAAATAATACATTTTTATTATAAAAATAATTGACTTAGGAGACGGCCTTCTAGTCAGCTCATACGATTGAGTCGAACATATGACATATTTGACTATTATTAAACAATTTGACTTAATATATTTTGTAATTCAGTTTATAAATCTCTTACAAATCAATCTAAATACATCAATTAATCATCATACACAATTAACAATATATTTGAATACAATTTATCATATTATCAATTGCCTTTAAGGTTTAATTCTACTAACTCTATTCTCTCTATTTTGGGCTCTCGATTTGGAAAGGTATAAATTGTTTTCTTATCCGTTTTGGATAACAGTTACTTGTACTTTCATTCTCTATCACCGGATCAGCGTCTACATGACAGAAAATTTGATGGAGGCAAACCCCCCTCCAAAATCTACCCATACCCACCTATAAAAAAAACAGGCCCTTCGGCCGCAAAATTTCACCCTCGATGGTATAATGATTTTATTTAAAAAATCTTAAAATAAGCCACCATTTATAACCTTACAACTTAATTCTATTTACAATCTTTCAAGCCTATTTAGGGGAAAAAAAATTAAAAAATTTGTTGGTGATAATCAACTTATATTTAAATAATGCAATCTTTTCATAATTTGGTTGATATTCTCTTTATTTTCATAAAATATATATAAGTGTATTAAATGAGATAACATATTAATATTTCTATAAAAAAGATCTAAAATATTGTAAAAAATATAAGAGGAGTAATTTTAAAGAGGTATATTTAGCTTGATTCCAAATACCTATATTACCTTTTAATTAATTAAAAACATGTATTGTAAATAGAGCTATTATATAAAATATTAGAATAAAGAATTATAGTATATTTTGCATTGAAATTTTGAATTTACATTTTTTAAAAAGAGTATATATTCGCTGTGAAAAAGATACATTCCTTATTTTATTAATAATTTGGATAACCTTTTAGATGTTAATGCAAATTGTGTTATAATATCATCAATTGCAAATTTTTCAAAAACATCACAGTAAATTTTTTAAAAATGGGTCTGAAATTTTATTCCGCTGAGTTTTGTTTATTTTTACTTTACTCACAGCTTTTTCGGCTGAACAGGAAGTTGTAGGAAGGGTTAATAAATATTTATATAATAAATTTAAATTAGAATAAGAATTTAATTGATTTAAAGTAGGTATGGTAATATAAAAGAATATTTTATCCATTTTTTTTATTTTGGTCATGATTTCGCTGTTGATAATTTCTTTGGTAGTTTGATCGTTTGCAATACCTTTAATTATATACAATTACAAATAAAATATCAATAAATTACTTTCATCAATATATAACGCGTCATTCTTTTTAACTTTCAAAAGATCTTCGCAGAAAATGATTGATTGAGACTCCAAATTTAAAAAGCGAAAATCATTATATTAATCAACAATGTTTTGGGCATCCAATTGATAAGTATGACAAATTTCGAATATTTGCCATCCTTTTATTTTTTCATTATCCATAATTCCAGGGTGAGTAAAAATGGATATTTGTGATAAAAAATTTAAACAATCATAATTTAATCGATCATTTAGGTGGTTAATTATTGCATTTAGCACAGGAAAAAATATTTCCGTTCTATACCTATAACAATAAATAATAATTAAAAAATTTAATTTATACAACTTGTTCAACATAATTATTGAATTCTGTTTGGTC